TCTGTATGTTGCTCAAAAACTAAATATATTGTTATATATATATATATATTTTTTTTTTACCCAGTCATTTAAAAATAACACATTTTAGAGCTGTAATGACAATACAGTGATATTTTTGCTTAAGGTTATCATACCGTCAAAATCTCATACCGGCCCATGCCTAGTATGGTCCATTGAATCATTAGGCTTGTTCAACTTGAAGCAGATCATCACCATCAGACCGATACTGATCAGACTGACATAAAAGTACAGCGAGAGCGATTAGAGAGCAGACGACTCTGTACGCTTTTGAATCGCTCTCGCAGTACTTTTGATGTCATACACTGATCGATCTGTGCAGCGCCGCTTCAAATCCAACAAGACTAATGGTTCACCCAATTCCTTGAAAATGTGGATTAAGAAATGAAATGCCGCTGTGTGTTGCCCGGAGACGAACAGTTCTGCTTTGTCTTTATATTTTCGTTGGCAAAATTGAGCAAAACAGACAACATTGTGTCTAAAATAACACGATATTAACTTCTTATTTATTGCACTGTTGTATAAGATCAGTATCACATTTGCACTCGTGTGATATTGCTTAACTATATGATGTAAATATGAGACAAAAACTCAAACAGGGGCATTTTTTCCCCATATCTTGAATTTTAGAGACATTCTAACTACGTTCTCTAGGCTCCATCACGCAGCGAGTTGTTGCCCTGCCTCATATTTGTCATCAATCAGCTGTATGAAATGTCAGATGACCCACGTAGGTCTGGGGCAGGGCAAGTGCATTAAATGCGTTAATAATTTTAACGCGTTATTTTTCACCGTAATGAATTAACCTAATTAATGCATTAAATCCCCAGCCCTAATATATATATGATTATAATATCACAATATTGAGCCACTTAAAATCAGCCATGTGTGTGTGTACCTGTGGAAGGAAAGGGACTGCAGGTTTAGAGGTGGGGAAAGCAAGAGTAGGTGCTTCAGGTGTTTCAGGGCTCCGTAGCGTGTCAACTGGAGTTGGGGTCACCTTTGGCTTCAACTGTGCATTGATGACTTCAAATGCAGCTGGAAAGGGTCAGAAATGTTGTATCAAAACATTTGTAATGCAATTTCACTTTTTTACACTAGAGTTAAAGTATAAGCTCAGTAAGATTTATTTATTTTTTTTAATTAATACTGTTGTTCAGAAAGGATGCATTTAGGGATTAAACTGTTACTGGTTTGATGATAAACCATGATAAAAAGTCCAAACGGTTATTATTACCATTTCATACTTAATTATCATTCAAACTGTATTTTTAATTTTTTAAGGTTTATGAAAACAAAAAGTGCATAGTGCTGCTAATTTTATTTGTCATGTTGGAAAATTCAGCTTTGCCCTTACAGCTATAAATTACATTTTAATCTGTTGAAAAGTTTGTAAATTGCAACAATATTTCCACAATATTACTGTTTTTACTGTATTTTGATTGAATTTAATGCAGCTTTTGTGAGCATAAGAGACTTCTTTCAAAAACATTAAAACATTTTACCAAATCTAAACTTTTGAATATAAGTGTATCTGTAAAAGTATACATTTTTTTTTTTTTTTTAAATGAAAAGCATTTTTCTCATACCCATTTCCACAAGTTCAGAGTCAGTCATGGAGTCCCTGCCGCTGGCTGTGTGGTCAGAGAGGGGCGGTGGGACGATGGCGAGGGTTTCAGAGTGCTGGGAGGGGCTGCCAGGCCACTGCAGGTTATCAGCTAGTTTAGCTCTCTCCTCCCGTGCTGTGGGGTCATCCCACACGATCTGCTCACTCTGGGACGGCTCAGTGTTCAGGTCCACAGCCACTTGACGTGACATCCTGCCAAAACACAATCTTTTAACATGCAATCTTAAAAATGCAACTTTCATAAAGAAAAACTGATGCAACAGCTTAATGATAACCAGCATCTGATGCACACAAATAAGACATATTAGAAACAGAAACAAGAACACATCCTGTGTCTACATTTCCTAGTGAACAACTAAAAACAGTTTTTTTTTTTTACCTGTAGACACGATTAACTGGTAGAAATTTGTCAACCGGTAGAGATTTTTGACTATTGTCTCTATCTCGGTTACACGCTTACGTGACATTGCTGTGCTACGTGGTCAATAAAACTTATCGTTTGCATGTGTTTTTAAGCATTGCGGTTTAAAAACAAGTGAATTTAAGCCATTGAAATGCAATCAGCAGTGAACGAGAACTCATTTCACTATGTACGCACTGTCTGTTTATGAGCGCTGTCAGAGAGGCATGCTTATGTTAAGACGGTGCTCATAGAGCGTGGGAGTATTGAACTGAGTATCTTTGCCACTTTATAGGCCGATTCCGATAACGTTCTGATAATATCGTGCATCCCTACTTGTATGAGTCAAAATGCCCTTCTTTGCAAGTATCCCCGTAAACACAGTAATTTAGGTCTTAAGTGAAAGCAAACAGTGGAGAAAGAAAACACGTGTAGCAGTATATTGGATCTGGGCAGCTCTTAAAGTGACAGCAGTCTAATATTCCTGCAGTCTGTCATTCTTGTTAATCAAATAACAAAAGAGAGAAAATCTCTCACTGCTCTTGACTAAATCACTTTTGTAACTTTGTTAAGAAGAAATATATTTAATTTACACAGTGAAGAATATGCAGTGTTTTATACATTTGATTACTTTATACTATGTACAGTATGTAGCATTTCTTAATTATTTGTTCTATTGTGGTTTTATTGTCCTATTGCTTGTAATTACTGTTTAATTGTCTTCAGTGACCTTGAGTTTTTCTTTTTTCAATTTAGGCTAGTATTAGTTTTTTGTGATATTGACACTGGTAACAAGTATTATGCAATTTTTATGGTATCAAAAATTTTGATATCATAAAGACCATATTTAAAGCAAAAACAACTACATCGTAATGCATATCGCTACTGTGAAATAAAATTACTCATATCTAGGGTTGGGTATTGTTTGAATTTTATCAATTCAGATTCCAATTACGATTCTGCTTATCGATTCCAATTCTAATCGATCCCCAGTTTCAATTCCAATGTGGTTAAAAAAAATGAATTCAAACATTTAGATAACAAACATATTTATTGTGTCTCTTTTTGCAAAACATTTAGTTGTAACTGAATACCATGAACAAAAATCAGCAGGCTACATAAAAACTGGAGTCGAATGATTCAATGACTCACATAAGATTAACTTGTTTCATTATTGGATGAATCAATGTTTTTGAATTAATCTCTTGAATGAATGATTCAAAGACAAATAAATTTTTTACAGCTCCTTTTTACCACCTACTGGCGTAACAACGTAATCACTAAATCTTTATTTGAAACGTCAAATTACTTTCAAAAGGTGATTTACTCTATTTTAATTGCTACCTTACACATCAGTGTTTATATCCAAACTATAAACTTTTATCCCCATACTTCTGTGATTATTTAATGATTGTAACATAGAAATAATGATACTGCGAGGTTGAAAAGACTCTTTGTGAAGCTGTTTCATACATACACATGACAGCTGAGTGAGAGTGAAGATCACACTGTTGTGATCGCACACGTCAAAGGTTTAACAGCTGAATCGTTGTAATTTAGGAATAAGATCACGTTGGTGTTTGAATCGTGTTCGCGATCTTTATCAATCTGTTTAAATAAAGTGCTTGTCATGTTGGTGGTGACAACTCTATTGCAACATGTTAGCTTATCAAAAAATTATGCTTAGCAGTCACTTGCTGATCGCAAGTGTAGCCAAACACTGGAGCACTTAGAATAGCGAGGAAGGTCCTGGCAGATCGCAGAGTCGGGTCCTCACAGAGGAAAAAAAAAAGAAAAGATGCGCACACAGGAATTGATAGGCGGAATCTAAATTTTATTTTTACAAAAAGTATCCGATTCCTGACCTTAAGTATCCGATTCTGGAATTAGAATCGATTTTCGATTCCCAACCCTACTCATATTGTGCTATAAGATTTTGGTCATATCGCCCACTCCTACTAGCTAGTCTTGTTTTGTACCGTAGGGCCTCTAAAGTACGGCTGCGTCTTCCCATTCGCCCCAGGCTGTCCGGGGTATGGGGTGAGTCTAGTCCCCCTGAGCCTGTTCTTGCCAATCGCGAGGAGACTCGACGACCGCTGGTCAGTTTAGTAGCAGACATGATCTCCTGAAGTTGCCTTTGAAGACCCTCTCTCATCTCAAGTGTTTCTGTGAGATCTGAGGGAAGGAGAAGATAAGACAAAAAATGGAGAGAAAATGAGCTTTGAATTGTGACTTTAGATCAGTCAGAGACAAACACAGAGATTTAATACATGAATCAAAGACACATCTTTAAAGATGACTCACTTCTCTCAGTGCTGACGGTCTGATCTTTCTCAGCCTCTCCCACACTGACACACTGAGGGGTTGAGATGTCTGTGATGTTGTCAACAGGGCTAAGCTTAAAAATAAATAAATAAATAATTTATAGCAATATATACTAGGGCTGAAACGATTCCTTGAGTAACTCGAGTAACTCGAATACAAAAAAATGCTTCGTTTAGTCCATTTACTGTAACTACACACGGAACACTGTGTTTCCCCACGGATCATTATTACTGACGCACAAACTGATAAATGCTGGACATTTAAGACCGTAAATCAATATGGTGGCTATTTAGGATGTCCCTAAGTTAGCTATGTTTTGTGAAAGACTAAGCGCCATTCATGTTGATTGTCTCATTCTCTCTCTGTGACACACACACACACTCCCCATAGAGTTATGCATAAAAATACCACAAAAAGAAAGTTAGTCAATATCACACGAAGAGTGCCAGTTTTCACCTCTAAAAATCAGCATGATTACAAATGTGATACTGATTTTATGCAACAGCTCAATAAACGATAAGTTAATATTAAGATACTTATGTTTTAGACACCATATTGCCTGTAGTGCTATTTCGGCAACAAAAATAATTCCAAACACAGCCACAGCGCTGTTTTGCGTCTCTGAGCAACATGAGGGTGTTTCGTTCCTGAATGAATCAACCGTTTTAAATGATTCAGTTCAGTCGCAATGACTCACTTATTAACCATGACTTGCTGCCACCTACTGGCGGTTTTAATTTCACATTTAAAGTATCTTGTAAATGTCAGTATCAATGTTTCATGTTTAAAATAACAAAATATTATTTATGCATTTGTAACTGCAGGTTAAATGCATTCATGTCCCTCTGAGCTAAATTAAATAGTGTAAATAGGCCTACATCTAAATGCCTCTTCAGATGCAGCTTCTGTGTTTCCTCTGCATTGCAAAGATACATTTTGTTGATACTGATATCATTTGTTTAGTTACAGCCCGAATGTCTTATTATTCTAATTGACTGATTAAATGTAAGAATTTGACTCAAAAGATAATGCACACTTATAGAAAAATGGCTTTATAAAGGTAAAAATGCCCATAAAAGGTAAAAATTGATTTAAACTTATTGGAAAAGATTATTTTCTGTCAGTGTTA